CCAAAGTATAAACATCCAATCATTGAAACTTTTTAAACACTTAGAATCTGGGGTGAGGGGAAACTGGCCTTGTCCTTGATATTAAAGCAGGCCAATAATCACTGATGTGCAAATCTGCCTCTTGGTGGAAGCCAGAAAAATAGGCTATGCTCTCAGCTTTATATGGGACAGAAGGTGGTATGTGTGTCTAAAAAGGGTGTGGGTACTTCCTCAGTTGACCTCACAGTTGAAATTTATACACCCTTTAAAGATGGAGAAGTGCCTCTCATTAGATTTGCAGCCTGATTCTGTCCGTGCTTATTTGGAAGCAAAGCCATAGATTTCAGAAGGGATTACTCCGAGATTAGTGTGCATCTGCAGATTACTGTGTATGGGGCTGGAGCCTTAGGCAGTGGGATTTCTTTTTGACTAAGCATGCATAGGATCTAGTGATAGGAGCCCCATCTTATGCTCTGTTGTGGAGCAGCAGCAGAATGAAGTATTGAAGCCTCGACTTCCAGAGGTGATACGTTTCTCCCCTTCTACACCAAAGCAAGCCCTGCTGTTTGCTGTTGGACTACCTTGCCACTAGGTTAAAAAGTCCCTGTGCTGTTCAGCATTGGAACATTGGTCAAGGGATGCTTTAAGAGTTTGGGATGAATGCAACGGAGGTGAGGCTACCCTGTTACGATTTTTGGCCCAGAGGCTCCCAAAGTAATGCATGGCATATTGATGTAAAAGAAATGTAATAATATAAAATAGCAAAAACACCAAATACTCACTAATCACACTGGATATCTGTTTGTGAGCTGTATTCATGCTCTTGCAACAGATGCAGCTTCCCAGCAATCTATCATTTCCAAGCCATGCCAGCTCTCTCTCTCACACACACCCAGCCTGTCACCTAGAAACAAGGCAATCTACTACCAATCACCCTTGGGGAGTGCCATCACTCTCAACACATCCCAAAGGAACAACCGAAAGTGGCTGCCCCCATAGGGCTGGCTCACTGGCAATGACCAATCACCGACAGCAGTCTCCAAATAAATAGGTTTCCTCCCAGGAAACTAACTACACCTATGGCAAAGTTCTTGCTCTTCCCTAATGGGCTAGCTGGCCAAAGATGGCTCCTCTGATAGACTGCTATTCTCAAGGTGCAGCAAAAGTGGCTGGGCAGGCTAAGGTTAGTATTCACCTCCCAAGTGAGAACTAGAGCCAGTGTGGTGTAGTGGTTAAGAGCGGTAGTCTCGTAATCTGGGGAACTGGGTTCGCATCTCCGCTCATCCACATGCAGCTGCTGGGTGACCTTGGGCCAGTCACACTTCTTTGAAGTCTCTCAGCCCCACTCATCTCACAGAGTGTTTGTTGTGGGGGAGGAAGGGAAAGGAGAATGTTAGCCGCTTTGAGACTCCTTAAAGGGAGTGAAAGGCGGGACATCAAATCCAAACTCTTCTTCTTCTTCTTCTAGTGTTATGTATTGTGTGCCATAATGCTCCTGCTTTAAATTTCAGTCACTGGGTAGTCTTGGGCAAGCTTCTGTTCACTCATCCTTATCTACTTGTCTGCAATATGTGGGTGGTCATATCAGCCTGCCTTACAGGACTTGTTGTAAGGTTTACTAAGATAATGTATGTGGAATGCTTTCGAACGCTCAGGAAAAGCACTATATAAATACTATGCAATTAGTATTATTAATTATTGTAGCATCTTAATAGCTATGGGAGCAGCAGCTCACTGGCTCCTAGCATTAATCCCAGATGATAATTTTTATTGGGATGATGATTTTTAAATTTATATAATGCTCTGTCCTGGTGAGAACTCTGTTCAAAGGGTTGCCATATAGACAGTGGTCATCACCTGTTCCCTGGAAGTGCTTTAAGAGAGAGAAAGTTACAAGAAAGGGGAAGTAGGGAATTCCCCTAGATTCTTGGCAGCAAGAGTTGTCATGTGTTTGCTTAATCACTTCCGCTTTTGAGCCTGGTGGTTAGCAGCTTCAGACGTCAGAGGCATAGTAGAAAAGGCACATGCTGGAAGGCACATGCCAGAACCAAACTTCCAACTGAGTCATAATTTATCTTTATTCCATAATAAACATCTTTCAAACTGAGCTTTGATCCAGAAACCCATTTTGCAATTGGTTTTCAAAGGGTCTTACTCTCAGCATCCATCAGCTAATCTGCACAGAGAGGAAGCTCCTTTTAAGGTACACTCTCAGCTCCAGTCAGCAGTGCACCTTCAAATGGACTTGCTTTCAGCACCCATGCCATGCCTACTAGGGCCCATGAGCCAGAGGTTCCTCAACACTGCAGTATACTACACTGCTGGCTTGATAAACTGATAAACATTCAGAAATTTTAAAGTGGCATGCAGTTACACGTAGAAAGGACAGTATTTAGTTCTTTTCTGGGTAGAACAGAAGATCTTAAATGTTGAGGCTGACCCTGAGCTAAACCTGGCAAATTGTTCAGACCACTTCATCTGCATCTTGTGCTTTTTCTTAAAAGGGGATTTATGTATCTTGGAATTATGTTGAAAGGTCTTGGGCACGTGCATAATGAAATAACTTCTTCAATTTTTTAAAATAGGTCCTTACCAGATTTTTGGGCTCCTCTTCTCCAGTACTTTATTGGTTCTGTGCTCATCTGCTTCATGACTATGAGCCTTTGCTACAGAATGGGAACCAATCTTCACAGCATGGAACACCCCGCTCAGACAAGCCCTCATTGGCAAACTCTCTTCCTAACTGGAACAGAAATGAAAACCCTGTGCTCACACTTCTGTACAACTGGAGGCAGACTACCACTCTCGCTAAGTGCATTCTGGGATATGTACTTTCCTATTGGGTGTTGGGGCTGGTCCTTCACTGCAATTTTTTCCCATGGACATAAGTATGTAGAACTGGGTAAGCTGATTGACTAGAGCATTAACCGAGCATTTTTCACCTTGGCAGTATTGAAGCTAATCAGCATCTACATGAAACTGCTAGGAGAGAGTTGGAGCTCAGTGTCACCTGTGTGCTGATGACAACAGAATGGGCCAATTCCTCTCTCTTCCAGCCAAGCCAGAGAGAGTATTGAAGTGTTTTGGTTTTTTCCTCCCAATAGACACTCAGAACTGTGTAGTTATTGAGCATACTTAGTCCGCAATTGGCTTTTGTCATTCCTCCCCACCTTTAGTGTGTGGAGTTGTCATTCTGTAAACCTTTGGGTTCTTCCACACCTGCTGATATCTCCGTCTTGTGCTTACATGGTGCTATTTTGGTTATATAAGAAATGACAATCAGGATTAGTTTTCTGTTGGTATATAGGGTGGGGCAAACAAAGTGATGCTTAATCCAGATAGAGGTGCTCTTGGTTAGAAGAGCTACCACTCTGGGAATAAGAGTTCAGTCTGTCTTGGAGGGCAGTTCACTTCCCTTAAAAACTCAGGTTCACAGCTTCACAGTTCTCCTAGGTTAACTCTTAGGTTTCCAGGTAGCAGCTGTGGGTAGGACACCTTAGGCTGTTGTGCCCGCTGAGGTTCCCCAAGAGAAGAGATGTAGTCACAGTAGCACATGCCTTCTGTGTTGCATCAAGATTTGGATTACTGCAGTATGTTCTACATGGGGCTGCCTTTGAAGTGTTTATAAACTTCAGTCAGTCTGAAACACAGTAGTTAAAAGCGAGTTATTGAGAGCACATTGGTCCCATGTTGCAAAGGTTTCACCAGCTGCTGGTCTGTTTTCTGGGCCCAACTCAAAGTACTGCTCCATTTATGAGTGCTAAACAGCTTAGGACCAGGGTTTCCAAATGGCCATCTCTCATTGAGCTCAACTACTTATTAAGATCAACTGGAGAGATCACCAAGAACTGAAAATCCCTGCCGTTAACCTTTTTTGTTGGTACCACAAGGTTTGGAATCTGGCACTGATGGAAAAGATAACTCACAGATTTAAGGTGCTACAAAAAGGAACTGAGTTGGACAAATTTCAGGATTTATGGTACATTACACAGACCACCAAGGACAAAAATGTTTGTAAACCTCCAGCCGCACATGGTCAACTACAGCTAAGTACTTTGGGCTGACATATACAATAGAAACAAAAATCAACTAATGAACTTTGAACCTGATTGTGTTATTCAACATTATATGATGAACTGTCTCTCCATTGTTACATATTTTTGTAATTTTATATCAAAATCAATAAAATACTTTTTTAAAAAATCTGCTGGAGTGTATCTCCTTTGCATCCTGTCTGTATCTTAGGTGTGTTTGGTGTGGATGCAGAGGAGAGCTGTACCTAGACATTTTGAGGGTGATCTGGCTCACCCCTTGCTGGTTTCCCACCATCTCGTGGAAACTTTTGTTTTCCAGAGAGCACTTGGCCTGCTAAGCTTATTATTATTTAGCTTACAATTGGTTTGTTGACTATCTGAGGAATGATATTTTTAAAGTGAAGGCAGTGAAGGTCCTGTCTGAGTGTCTGGAGGCGGTTGGAGGATGGATGGCAGCTAACGGACTGAGGTTGAATCCTGACAAGACAGATGTACTGTTCTTGGGGGACGGGGTGGGCTGGTGTGAAGGACTCCCTGATCCTGAATGGGGTAACTGTGCCCCTGAAGGACCAGGTGCGCAGCCTGGGAGTCATTTTTGACTCACAGCTGCCCATGGAGGCGCAGGTTAATTCTGTGTCCAGGGCAGCTGTTTACCAGCTCCATCTGGTACACAGGCTGAGACCCTACCTGCCCGCAGATTGTCTTGCCAGAGTGGTGCATGCTCTAGTTATCTTCTGCTTGGACTACTGCAATGTGCTCTATGTGGGACTACCTTTGAAGGTGACTCGGAAACTGCAGTTAATCCAGAATGTGGCAGCTAGACTGTTGACTGGGAGTGGCTGCTGAAACCATATAACACCGGTCCTGAAAGATCTTCATTGGCTCCCAGTACGTTTCCGAGCACAATTCAAAGTGTTGGTGCTGACCTTTAAAGCCCTAAATGGCATCGGTCCTGTATACTTGAAGGAGCATCTCCACCCCCATCATTCTGCCTGGACACTGAGGTCCAGCGCTGAGGGCCTTCTGGCGGTTTCCTTGCTGTGAGAAGTGGGGTTACAGGGAACCAGGCAGAAGGCCTTTTCAGTAGTAGCGCCTGCCTTGTGGAATGCCCTCCCAGCAGATGTCAAGGCAATAAACTATTTTACTTTTAAAAGACAAGTTTAGGGAAGTTTTTAATGTCTGATGCTGTATTGTTTTTAATATTCGGTTGGAAGCCACCCAGAGTGGCTGGGGAAACCCAGCCAGATGGGCGGGGTATAAAAATAAATTATGATATTATTATTATATTAAAGTTACCTTTTCTGTTGTTTCCTTGACTTTATAATTTTTTATTATTATTATCATCTTACATTTTAAGTTTTGTAGTAAGCCACCTGTAGCATTTATTCCATAGAAAGATGTGGTATAAATATTTTAATAAAAAATAATTTCAGTATACATGAAAATGAACTGCAGTTGGGAATAGATTGGGCACAAGTCATCACTGCTATTTATGCCTGCACATAACAGCTTTCATGAAACTTTTTAAAAAAAATATGCACTTTGTCTAATGTATATAAAACACTGGATAACAACACTCTGGTGTGACCAAGAAAAAGAACCTGAAATGGAGCTAAGGCATGCAGATAGGAATATGCTTGATTTTCAAAGGTTTGGATTAGGAGGGACAAGGAGCAGGTTAAGCTCCCCATGGTGCCCTGGAGTGTAATTGCTTTCCACCGTCTATGTCAGAGGTAGCAAAGATGTTAGACTCCTTCCAGCATGGCCAGTGGTTAGGGATGATGGGAGCTGAAGTCCAACATATCTGGAGGACACCATGTTGGCTACACCTGATGTAAGTGAATGGTTGCCATTCATGCCTATGGAAAAAACTTAAGTGGGATACTTTGTGGTAACACTTGTAATGAGTTTGTAAACTGGGGTGCCTGGACTCGACAGGGATCCCATAGTGGTATGTTTGCACACAGAGCAAACACACTGCAGTCCCTCTCAGACAAGGCTGCATGCAGGGTTCAAACCTGTCCTCTGCTCACCCATCACAATGAAGAGTGTTTTGCCAGGGGAAGCCAGGTATGATTACCATTTGATATTGTAGCCCATTCAGCATGTAAAGTGCAACCTACCAGCTGAATACAACACAGATGCAGACGGTGAGTCACTGCACAGGAGACAAAAACGTTTCCCCCCCTTTTCCAACCATATCTTTGTTTCACTAGTGCAGCAAACCATATTTGTCTTATATACATTGTGACTTCTGTACAGGATGCAGCATAATTTTCATTAATGGGAACATATTGCTTTGAAGGGATAGTACATAATTCTGTTGACAAACAATACATGTTTACCTAAGTAAATAGGCAAGAAGTTCTGTAAGTTTAAAATGTTTAAAACAGTGCATGATAAACAATAAACCTTTCTGACATACATATATAGCTTCTCTTGTGTGAGAATAAAGGGTAGCATTTAACTAAGTTTTACTTAGAGAAGACCCATTGAAATGGGTCTTTTCTCCATATCTTTAGAAGTAGGGGAAATTATATATGATAGTCAATGGAACCTCCACCTTCAGAGAGTCGAGTACCAAATGCTCTTGGGAACATGCAATAATCAGAGAAAACCGGTTACAGTGTTTTCATGCCCTGCTTGTGAGATGCTCAAAAGGACCTTGATTGTTCCTTGCGGGAAACAGCATTTAAAGGATACTGATGTGTAGTAGCAACAACAACAACGGACCAGCCTTGTATCTTTACAAAAGGACGCCGCCGGCACTCTGTCCCGCGGTCAGAGTCACTTCCCGCGGAATTCAATTTAAAGAGAGCGGTAAAAGCCTTGAACCTTCGGAAGCCGAAGGCCCGACAGGCCTTTTACTTGCAGACAAAGGAGTTTTCAGTATAGAGCAGCGCGGTGGGTGAGGGGAGGCGAGCGGGGCGGAGTGAAGAAGCGGAGGGAGCTGCCTGCGCGGCGGCGGGCCGTGGTGCGCGCTTCTTTCCCCCTCCTGAGGGAAGGCGGCGGGAGCTGCTCAGGCAAGGCCGGCGGCTGCAGCGCGGACTCCAGGCCGGCGAGCGCGAGGGGGGCGCTGCGGCGGGAGGCCTCGGCGGGCAGGGGGGGGTGTGCCGGTGCCCGCCCGCCGGCCGGCTCATTCTCCCTCCGCCGCTGAGGGCGGGGCGACGGAGCTGCCGAGCGGGACTCTCCCTGCCTGCCTGCCTGCAGGGCGGTCCTGGCTGCGCCAGAGGCCGCCGCTGCCGCCGCTCGGTGGGGTCTGGACGGGGGAGGCCGGCCGGCGCCATCACCATGAAGGAATGCGAGTACCGGCAGATCCCGCCGGGCACCCCGGCCGCTCCTCCTTCCTCAGAGCCTCCGGCGCCGGCAGCCTCTTCCGTGGCAGCCGCCGCCGCCACCCCGGCGCACGGGCGCCGCCGCAAGTGGGAGGTCTTCCCCGGGCGCAACCGCTTCTACTGCGGAGGCCGCCTCATGCTGGCCCGGCACAGCGGCGTCTTTCTCCTCACGCTCGGCCTCATCGTGGTCACCAGCGGCCTCTTCTTCGCCTTCGAGTGAGTCCGTGAGTGAAGGAGCCCAGGCTGGGGGGGGGACGGGACACCCAACGCCCCTCCTGCTTTTTGACATTTATTTACTTCCCTGCAAAACCGTGACCTCGCTTTCCAACCCCTGCTCCCAAAGGGGTCGCAGAGTGTTTCCACATAGTCAACCTGTTTCGTTATTGCCGTCGGCAGCAACCGAGCTTAAGGTTAAGCTAATTGCTAGAGGGTGTAACCTGCTTGCGCCTTGTGGCGACTGAAAGGCTGGCCAGGTGCGGCGTGGAATCAAACCTTTTCCTCTAGAAAGTCCCGCTGTGTTCAGTGGGTGTTTCCTCCCACTTTAGGGGTGCATAGGATTGCGGACTAGAGCCCCACTTCGCCAGGCTAGTAGCTAGTCCATAGAAGCTTAACATATATAACTGTCTGTGTAGATGTAGGTAAGATTTAGGAGCCACTTTTTGATGGCGTTTTCTGAGCAGTAAACCAGTATGCCCCAGTATATTTGTTAGGTGCTGCAGTACTGTGTTTTGTGTGAAGGCACCGTGCCAAAGCTTTACTTGATAAGACAAGATAATACAGTGGTACCTCGGGTTACATATGCTTCAGGTTACAGACTCTGCTAACCCAGAAATAGTACCTCAGGTTAAGAACTTTGTTTCAGGATGAGAACAGAAATTGTGCTCTGGTGGTGTGGCAGCAGCAGGAGGCCCCATTAGCTAAAGTGGTGCTTCAGGTTAAGAACAGTTTCAGGTTAACAACAGACCTCGGGAACGAATTAAGTATTTAACCCAAGGTACCATTGTACTGAAAAGGCACAGTGAAATAGGCATGGTTTTTACACTCCTTTTGAAAGGGAGGGTGTGCTTACTTCTGACCCCAACAGGGGAGGGAATTTTGCGATTCTAGTGCCACTGCTGTAATATAGTTCCTGCTTTTGGATAAGCACTAAATCCCCCCCCCCTTTATTACATTTCTTAGGGCTTAGGGTAGCTTTCACCACCCCGCCAATTTATTCTTGCATCAACATTGTGAGATATGTTAGGTGTGAGAAAGCAATTGATACAAGATCATCCTGGAAACATCTGGCAGAGTTCACTTTCTCTCCCACTGGTGGGATTCCCATTGGCAGCAGTAGCCCATAAAAAGCCCTTAAAATAATGTGTTGTGGAGAGAGGCTGAGCCAGTAACACTTGGCCTCTTCTTACATTCTTACTGCTGGCATAGCTCTCCTCTGAAAATGCAGAAACTTTGCTTGGTGCCCACAGCCCACACAAGAGGCACATCAAAATACTGCCTAGGTGAAGGCAACCTGCATTGCATGCTTTAATTGTAAGAAAAAGCATAATAAGAACAGTCACAGTGTTAGGAATACCAGAAAACTGGGGAGAGGTATTGACATCCCTTTCCTCCACCACCTTTCTCAGCCCCCTCTCTCCCATGCCACCAAGGTGTTAGCAGTTTTGTATTGAATTGTTAGGATCCTCCAAGGCATTTTACGACGGATCATAACCAAAGATGAAAGGCAAGATGTACATCATTAAAATAAATAAATGTGCAAGACTTTGGGCTTCTCATCTCACTCAGCCTGTATGTGTGCATGCACATTTGTTCTAATAGGAAAATAAGGGGGTGGTGCTTCTCTTTCCCCACTTTGTCTTCCAAGTGCCCTATGAATGGACCTGAGTGAATCTTTTCACCATTGGTTATTTTAGGCTAACATAAGTGAAGAAAGCTGACTTGACTCATTGAAAGTAAGATCTGAGGTTGGGATGATTTAAGAAGTTGTTTTTCAGTGAATAGCACAAACATTCAAGAAGTTAACTTCAGATGACACCATAGGAGAGACTGCCACTTCTTAAATTTACTCCAGAGCTTAGGTGGAAATGCAAGACATCATTAGAAAGGGTACGATTCATTGTGGTCTTCTTGCAGAGTAAGAAGCATAATTGTCTATGGGGCAGGGAGAATGCAAAGAGCCACTAGGAGCTACATACATGAAATTGGATGTTCATGCAAGTGAACGTTTGACTGAGCCCTGTCTGACTTGTGTTCATATTCTAAGCCACTTGTGGGCTGTGTTTGTGTGAGAGGAAACAAGATCTTCTGAAGGCATGCTAGCTGTCTTGCAAAGGCAGGTGGAAGTGAGTCAGGTGTGTATGTGTGTGTTCAGTGTTGTGCTAATGAGTATGATAGAAAGGTCAGCAGTTTGAATCTGCGCGATGGAGTGAGCTCCCATTGCTCTATACCAGCTTATGCCATACTAGTTCAAGTAGATAATTAGGTACTTCTGCGATGGAAAGGTAAATGGCATTTCCATGTGCTCTGGCACTCATCACGGTCCTCCGTGCACTGGTAGCGGTTTAGTCTTGCTGGCCACGACCCGGAAGGCTGCCCGTGGACAAATGTTCGCTCCCTCGGCCTGAAAAGTAAGATGGGCGCCGCAGCCTTTGACTGGACTTAACTATCCAGGGGTCCTTTACCTTTACCTGCTAATGCGTTGAATTGAGGCAGTTTTCCAAGATACTGCTGCCACATGGAGACCGCTTGAAACTGTCTCCATTGCTCCATTTGGGGTGTGCTAGCTTGTATCAGGTCTGCAGGGCCTGTCTCCCATTCTGCTAGAGTTGTTTGGCAGCAGTGTGGGGACCATTCAGCCTATTCAGCTGCCATGCATAAGCATTCTCCAGCAGCTTCTATATCAACCTTGTAAATGTCCACCAAAGTGTGTAGGCAACTTGAGAGCTGGCATCCGGTTCCTTGCTGTCTATGACTAACAGGTGAGTGCTTAAATACATGCCTGCCATATCATGAGAAACAACTCTTAATCGCCTTCTAACGTGCAATTAAGACATCTCTGTTAGACTCTTTACACTGACTAGAGGCTTTTAGCCAGGAATGGGGGGGGGGGGGACATACTGTGTACCAGCTTCACATTGTGGTATCTGGTGTTTTGCCAAGAATGGTATTTGGCTCCCCTGTTAAAAAACCCTTTAAGGGGCAGCATCTTTTGTTACTTACACCCTCTCGGACCACTGGGATTAGCACCACTGTGGGGAAGGAAAAGTAGTGGAGGGTTCAGGGATGTATGTGAAGGGCTTATGACATGTCCCTCTGCCCTTGGTTGCACAAAAGGGAAATCAAAGGACAGCTGCAGCAGATGATACTAGTGTTGATCTGGTGTGGCTTCACAACTGAACTTGGGAGATGCATCAGATTCCTCTAATCCTCTCATGACTAGGTATCAGGAAGTATTTGGGCAGCTTTTTTGTATGTGTTGGGAGTCCGTGTGATTATCAGTGCTTATAATAGTAAAGTCCTTCTGCAGTGGGCGGGGGTGTTCTGTGTTTTCCTTATGTAAACGGTGCATTCCCCAGAGTGCTGGTTTTGTCTAAAGCCTCTGCTTGCGTGTCCAGCTCTCCTTGCCTTTGGTAGAAATTTAATCTTGGGAGTTTTAGCAGCTAGGCCCTGTTATTCCGTTCCAGCCATTAGGAGAGTGGAGTTGTAAGCTTTGTCTTCGCTACTGCAAAACTGTGGGCTAGCCCATGTGACCTGCGCTGTGGATGGATCTTGGTACTGGTGTGATTGTGGCATTCCCTCATTGTATGCAGTAGCACTAGCCCCATGCCATCCTGTACCACACCACACATGTCAACTACCTAAACATAAACAGAGACTAGCCGCAGTACCCTAGCTGCCTGTAAATCTACATCCAGTTGTTTGCAGTCACAGAAAACCTTAACCACCTTCAGCTTTGACTTTATATTCTCAGAAGCTGACTTTGCTTCAGAAGACATATTAATGCTGTTCCTTAAGTTGACAAGCTTCCTCTCTGGAATTTTCTCTCCCCCTCCCCTGCTAGATCAAAAGTTGATGTGATTTTGAAAAGTGAAATAGTGCCGTGGAATAACTAGGGGCTCTCTCCTCTACTCATAGCCATGTAGTTTTGCAGATTGGAGGGCTGGAGCTAGAAGGGACCTTTGCCATTCTTTCGCTTGTGTACACTTCCCCTTTCTGCCCACTGTTCAGCGAAATCCATGCTTCTTTTGCCTTGGCTGCAAGGCAGACTGCAAGATACTGGCTGGCAGGGGGTTTTGTGCTGTTTTCCATTGGCTTGTGCTTTTGGTTATCTGTAGTAGGGGTGGGAATGAAGGGGGAAGCGTGCTTCTTCCTCAGCCAGTGTGCTGGGTTCAAAGGCTGTTACTCCAGAATCCATGCAAATATAAATACATTATTGTTGAGATGATCCATTTCTGGACCGCCTCTCCCTATATAAACTGTCCTGGACTCTGTGTTCATCATCTGAAGCCCTTCTTTGTGTGCCTCCTCCGTTTGAAGTCCAGAGAGTGGCAACATGAGAATGGGCCTTTTCTGTAGTGGCTCCCTGACTGTGGAATGCTCTCCCCAGGGGGGTTTGTTTGACGCTTTCAGTATATACATTTTAGATACTAGGGAAAAACGTTCCTCTTCAACCTGGCTGATTAATATACTACAGCCTGTTAAATGTATCTGTGGGAAAGGGGGGGGTATTGTTTTGTTGTTTTGGTTCAATTTTTTACTTGTGTTTTATCTTGTATTTTATTCTGTGAACTGCCCTGAGATCTTTTGATGAAGGGCGATATATAAAATCAATCAATCAATCCTAGTTAGCCTTTGAAACAGCCCTGTTTACATAGATAAGCTTAAGTAGCTGCTTGGGATCCACTAAAATCAGTAGGGATTAGTAAACATATGTTATATGTTGCATCCTGCTCGTGATAAACATTTCAGAGGAAGCAGGGCTTGTGCTGAATTTCCCCCCACTGAGCAGGGTTGTGGGGCTTTTAGCTGATCTCTGCAGCCGTTCTTCGAATGGCAGATGCCAAGAAGTGGTAATATTGATCACCAAGCTGTGTGAAATTTCACCTGTTGATTTTCACAGACCAAACTGCCTTTTAAAGACACAGGATCAGACAAGGACATTTTTCCCTGGTTAGTTGACAAGCCTCTGTCATAAACTGTGCTTCTGCCATAGTCTTAGTATCAGCTCATTCACTGCACCTTCTGCAGCCTTTGTGGCTGTCTTTCTGCCAAACAACCCCAGCCCTTGAAAATCTGTTCTTTACCGAAAAGAACAGAACAGAAATAGTATTAATTTACCTCATGACACACAGCTCACTCCCACTTCTCAAATCAAGCTCCCACCCACCCTGCTTCTCCTTTTTAAAAAGAATGCCATGGTTACCCTTGACAACTCCAGGCCCAGCGTGATCAGGTTCTCCCTCGCTAATTTCCCCCTCTCCCAGATATGGTGACATGGCCTTGGACTATACTTGTGGTCTCATATATTGAAACCCTAAATAAGGATTTAAATGCCATTGCCACCTCTGGATTCAGATGGAGTTACTGTTCTTTTATAAAAAGTCTTGTTTGGATCTGGCTTCGTTAACATCAGACGCAACAGTTCCGGTAATCTGGCCACCCACTTTCGTGGACCAGAGTACAGTCGTACCTTGGAAGTCGAACAGAATCTGTTCTGGAAGTCCATTCGACTTTCAAAACGTTTGGAAACAAAAGCACAGCTTCTGATTGGCTGCAGGAAGCTCCTGCAGCCAATAGGAAGACATGGAAGCCCTCTCGGACGTTTGGCTTCCAAAAATAGTTCACAAACCAGAACAGTCACTTCTGGATTTGCGGCATTCGGGAGCCAAAATGTTCGAGAACTAAGCTGTTCGGAAACTAAGGTACAACTGTATAGCTCAGAGTAAATGCTGGAGGCACAGGGTCTGGTGGCATGTCAACCTTGAGTTAAAGAGCAAGGGGGAAAAGCTGTGCTTCAGCAAGGTGATCCAAAATTGCTGGAGGCAGTGAAGCTTGTTCAAACCAGTGGATTCACTGTGTTTTCCAACACCAGATAATTGTGAACCAGTGTGATCCAGACAAATATTGGCATTGTCAAGTCTCATGCAGTCACACTGGCCCTGGGTAGCCGTTGACAAGTAACTTACCTCATAGTCCCTGTTCTGCTTCAATGAAACATAATAATGGTGGCCTCCCTCACAATATCTCTGTGATAGAAATCTAAAAAGATATTCAACTATTTGTTCATTAAAAATGGAGCTGTATCCATTATATAAAAAACAATGATAAAAGTGGATATATACACAGCAGGTTAATAAGATAAGAGGGCATCAGCTCTGCGACTAAACAGTCTTTAGAAGCTGTATCAAGCTTACACTTGAAAGAACTTAATGGAGATGTGTTGAAAAAAGGAGGGGAAAATAAAGTAACTCTAGTTTGTAGATTTGCTTTCTTCAGGATTTAAGGAAAAACTAGATTTTTTAAAAATTGAATTTATATACCGCCCTATACCCAATAACTCCCCCCAGCAAAAAAAACACATTTTAAAAGGACTGTGTAGTAGGGAAGGATTTACTCCAGGAATAAGCTATGACTGATATAAATGATTCTTACCTCATAAGATAGCTAATGCTGTCCACTCTTCCCCTTAATCCAGCCTTGCATTTAGCAATTTGCCTGGCAGGCTTAGGTGACCAGGAGTTTTATGTAGGCAGGCATATGAAACTCCATAAAGGGAAAGGGCAGTAGATCAATCTGTCCCTCATCCACTCTGTCCCAACTCCACAACGAGCATGGATGCACAGGCAATTTGCTTCTTAGCCGACTAGTAATTTTTGCAGACATGTAACTTTTGTGAGCTTATTTGCAAGGTGGTCCTTAATCATATTCTTCTAAAAGATCTACAGAATTTTGCAAGGTAGAATCTGAAGAAGTTATGATCTGTTGGCTCCAGTGGCCAACTAAAAGAAACTGTCCGCGAGTGTAGTGTTTGTGTGGTGAATGGAGGCCCTACTTTAAAAATGTGTTGTTCTTTTTTTCAGCTGTCCCTTCTTGGCTCGTAACCTGACCTTGGCCATTCCCATCATTGCTGGCATCCTGTTCCTCTTTGTCATCAGCTGTTTGCTGCAGACCAGTTTCAGAGATCCTGGTATCCTGCCCAGAGCCACCCCCAGTGAAGCTGCAGACCTGGAGAAATGGATAGGTGAGGTTCTAGTTGTCATTCTTCTACATCCTTGGAAAAAATTTAAAGCTCTGCTTGTGATCTCATGGTATGCAACATCCTTGTTTGAGCATTTTCCTGAGGCTATCATGAAGGGAGACAAAGCAGTTGCCAGATCTTCACTGGAGGGACCTAATGGCTTAAACCTTTTCTAGGGAAAACCCGTGGTGACAGTGAGCAGCAGGCCCATCCTATGTGACATTGCCTTTCCAAAATCTCTGAGAGAGATGAAGCCTGGGGACCTAGGAGTGTGAATTCATTGTAGTAGGAAGCTGGATCCTAAAATGGTGATTGTGTATGTTTCAAATAAGGGAATTGCAGGTGTCTCTAGCTTCCTGTTGGATCTAACCCTTCATAGGTCACATGACCAATTTCCCAGATGACTCAGCCAGATAACATAGTTCTGTTTCCTCTGCCCCAGGCATGTCCAACTCCTAAGAGTCTGCAACCTAGTCCCAGTATAAAAACAAAACAAAACTGGCAGTGATCTACCCATTGTCATTGGAGGGAGGAGGAGCGTGCGTGGGGTGGGTGGGTGGGTGGAAGGGGAGGATTGCCCAGAGTTGTTCAGCTTTTCTTGGGGATGATTCCCCACAGTTGTTGAGCTTTTCTTGGAGGGGAGAGAGAAGAGTTTCTGAGCTTTTTTAAAGAGAGTATGCCAAAAATCCCTAATAGGCTGCTAATTAATGCGTCTAGCGCTAAATGAAACTATTGTATCCCCAATCACCAGCAGCAGACGCCAAACGACCGCCCACTAGACGTGACGGAGCGACAGAGAGAGGGGGGCGGGGGGGCGGACCCATCTCCCGGGGATCTACCTGTCGATCGCGGTCGACCGGTTGGACATCTGCTCTACCCTACTGCAAAACTTGGGTTGTTTTTGTTGTGACTTCTACTAATAAAAAATGCAACCCTTTATGTGTTGTGATGGTGGCTCACTGAGCAGTCAGTCCAGAGTTACCAAGAGCAAAATGAATACTTTTTCATTAATTTTTAAAGCAAAGAAGATTTTCCAAAAGATCTCTATGCTTCCTTTTTTGCCAGTGACATTCAAGGCAACTGCAAACATTCCATAACAACAGCAAACAGAATAAAAACATGTCATTAGTACAAAAATAGTAGATGAAATCCACCATTAACTAATTCAGTAAACTCATCTTCATATCAAACTGGGCAGACTAGCATAGTGATACACACCAGCCCCTACAACAAATTATATTTAAATCGCCAAAATTGTCAAAAAGATAAATATGAAGTGACCAGGAAAAGAGATGCGAATTTATTGGCTTAAATATGAATGAATGAATCTTTATTTGCATCAGCCATCGGCCATAACAATAAAACAACAATATGGTATACAAAAAATAGAAATAAAAAGTCAATTATATGAAATACATTTTAGCATTTTGAATAAATAGTCAAATAGTGGATCTTATTCTGATTGCCCCAGCTAAAAACCTTGCAACCTTTGCTATTGGCTTAAATATTGTACCAGCCTTCTCATTTCTGCACTGTGGCTTGGAACAAATTCTGATGCAGGCATAGTGAGTGTTGAACTTGGAGCTTATCCTGTGTTTTAGCCTTGGTGGTGATAAGCTGTCAGATCATTTCTGCCAATTCCTCATCTGAGCCAGATATTTATTGTTGCTGTTTAGGGCTAGGAAATAACTGATTTTCAAGATTGCAATTTATAACCAGCTAAATATCATGATACATTGATATATCATGATATCTGAAATAAGGAACTACACAGAGGCGAACAGGACAATGTCCTGGCAACTGCTACAACTTAAAGGTCTAAAACTGATAAATGATGATATTATCAATCACCTCATGGTCACTTTTAGCAGCAGGCAAGCCAAAATGCATCCAAATGAGACATTTGGTTTTGGGCTTGGCTACCAAATGGTGGTATTCCGGACAATCCAAAGTACGGTGATGAGTTATAGTGAATACAGATAATCTGAGACTGCAAGCAGGCTGCTAGGCAGCAGTCTGATGGCAGCAGAACTATTAACAGAGAGGGCACAGAAGCAGCAAGAGCCTGGCAGCAGTGGCACAATAATCAGCAGCCCGTGAAGCCTCGGCACAGCAGTGGGTGGCAGCAGCAGAAGCAGTGGCAGCCAGTTAGGCCTTGTGGTGGCGGCGGCAGTAGTGGTGGTCTGCAAGGCCTTGCAGCAGTGGCAGAAGTGGTGACAGCCTGCAAGGCATTGTCATGCCGGTGGCAGTAGCAGCGACTTGCAAGGTCTTGCAGTGGTGGCAGGAGATAGTAGCAGAAGCACAGGTGGCCTGCAAGGCCTCGCTGAGGCAGGCTGCCACAACTTCTGCCACCAACTCCCACTACTGCCAGGAGGACTTGCTGGCCGCCGCCACTTCTTGCCACCACGGCGAGGCCTCGCAGGCTGCCACTACTATTGCTGCCATCTCCTGTCACTGACGCAAGGCCTCGCAGGATGCCACTACTGCCGTCACCTCCTGTGACTGCTGCAAGTCCCAGCAGGTTTCTGCTGCGAGAACTCGCAGACCACCACCACTTCTGCTGCCAAATCCTGTCACCACTGCGAGGCCTCACAGGCTAATGCTGTTACTGCTGCCACTTCCCATCGCCACTGCAAGGCCTCACAGGCTCTGCCATCACTCTCTTGCAGGCCACCGCCTTTACTGCAGCCAGTTGCTGCCGTGAGGCCTTGCAGGGTTTCATTATTGCAGCTACCTTTTGTCACTGCCTTGAGGCTTTGCATGCCGCCGCCACTATAGCTGCCACCTCCCGTCACTGCTGTGAGTCCTTGCAGGCTGCCACTGCTACTGCCACTGCCTCCCATCGCTGTTGTGAGTCTTCGCAGGGTGCTGCCGCTACTGCCATCACTCTTAGCACTGCTACAAGGCCTCGCAGGTCACCACTGCTTGTGCCACGACCGCTACTGCCCCCAGCTCCTGTTGCCACCGTGAGGCCTCACAAGTTGCCACTGTTCATTCTGCCGCCGCAAGGCCTTGCAGGTTGTCACTACTACTGCCGACACGTACTGCGGTCATGGCAAGCTGTTTCTGCCACTGCTGCTTCTGCCTCCTAGCCTCTGCCTCCTGCCTGCTGGCAGTCCCAGATTATTTGAATTCACTAATGACTCATTGCCGTACTTTGGATTGTCCTGAATACCACCATTTGGTAGCCAAGCCCAAAACCAAAAGTCCTGTTGGGATGCATTTTGGCCTACTGATGAAACCGAGTGTGTGATGATTGGTAATACTGTCATTTATCCATTTTAGACCCCTTAGTAGCAGTTGCCAGGATATTGTCCTGTTTGCCTCTGTATAGTTCCATCCTTATTTCAGACATTGTGGTAGTTTGCAATGTTTAGCTGGTGATATTGTGAGGTTTAGCTGGTGATAACATTGCAGTGTTTAGCTGGTGAGTTATTGCGATGTTTAGCTAGTGAGTTATCGCAATGTTTAACTGGTGAGTTGTCACGATGTTGAAAACCAGATATTGCCTAGCCCTTATACACATTGTGATTCACAATATATTGCCAGCTCAAATATTATGAAACAATTATCACAATGTGAACTTCAAACCGGTTTTGGACGATATATTGCCCAGCCCTTTTGCCATTCCATTCCTCTGAAGCAGTTTAAGGGGCAGCTTGTGTGAGTTAAACAATCTTTCTCTCTCTAATTCAGAGCACAGAGGGAAAACAGCTTCTAGCTGTCTGTCATAATTTGTTTCTGGCTGTTCACTTGTAGGTGACTAGGTAGGGAAGCTTACAAAGTTGTTGGAGAGGAGAGGTTACACCAGAACTGACTGATTTTTGTGGGCAGGCACACTAGAGTAAATTTTCATGGAGTAATAACTTATATAAACATTGTAAGGTCACTATTTTATTCAGCATCTAGTCTCCCACCAGAAGTGCATTTAATGCTGCATCTTAAAATTCATTGGATTGGTGAAAGTAGGGGAAGGATGGCTTACTCGAAATCCATATGATCCCAATTTATTAAGAATTGGAAGTGTGAGTTTAAACCAGTCTTTCCCTGTGCCCAAGCTTTGTGATTGAGGAGCCAAATACCTGTTCTCGTGGCTTTACTGATTCTTCAGATACATTTTTTGAGGTTTGTTGACAGGTCTGATGGACATTGATTGGCTTGTTTAGAACTGGTTTTATTTATTGGTTTAATATATATTTTAAACCGTTTTGTGATTTTATTACATGAAAGCTGGTAAAGAAGCGTATTATAACGTCATCCCTGTTCATTTTGTCCGCTAAAATCTAAAGAACTACATTTTGAGTGTGATTCAGTTATTTGCAAATCAATTTATCCAGCAATATGGAACTGCAACTTAAATGACAATGAGGAGCTGTTGTGGAGAAGGAAATAGAGTTGTAAGGGTAAGGAACCAAATACATGGGACAAAAGTCAATTGTCCAGATGCATTTTAGAGTTGTGATACTGGTTGGAGTCTAACTCACATGTAAATGCATATTACTCCTATTCTGTCCCAACTGCAATGCTTTCCTATTTGCTTCTGAGTTCAGTTCAAAGCATGGCATTCACCTTTACTGCTGTAAGTGGTCTGAAGCATGTGTTGCTGTGGAAATGACTTCTTCCATATGTTATTTCCCAATTCCTTAGATCTGCAGGGGAGGTGTGCTGATGAAATGATTTTTAAATGTACAGTTGTTTATAGCCAAGTAGCCTGGATTTGCTTCTGGCTGTGATTTTATGTTCTATGTTAACTGTATTTTCTGAATACAGATTTAACTACTGAAGCTGCATGCCACTGAGAATCCAGCTAAATAAAATGAACTCTTCTGCCATGCTAAGAATTATTGTGCAATAGCACTACAGAAAAAATGTCTGGAGGCTGTGTTCAGTAGCTTCTCCCATTTACTTAGCTTCAGCCTGATAGTGTGATGCTAGCTGGAAGTGCTTGGATATGAGGGAGATAAGGTAGAAAGTTGGCATATTTTATGTTTCACAGTGGATCAGATTATAGATTTGACTAGCAGCAATTCTATAAAGAAAGCACTTAAAGCAGGAATGTCAAAGATATGCCCACAGATTGTATCAGGTCCTTTGGAGGTCTTAAATGCTCAAATTGTCATCTTTTTGCTGGAGTCATCTTAAGCCATCACTGTGTGCAAAATTTACAAAGCAAGAGTACCTACTTAGAATTTCTTAACAGTTTAAGGCACAACTAATCTGTTGTAAGTGATCCTTACTATTCAGACTTGCCAGTGGTCCACAATATTTTGCTGGCCTTGTAGTCAAGAAACAAAAACTGTATTCCTGCATGTGCCCTCCAGCTTGACTAATGAAACCCCCTTCCTTTTTTTCATGTGTGGAATGCACCTTAATCAAGCATTAGCCACCCCCCTTCCTTTTCTGGCAGAGAGTGTGTTGCCTTTGGCTGCTGTTTGGCGGAGGGGCTCATCTGCCGAGTAGCAGCCAAGGAAACCTCCTACCTCCCTTTCCAGCTCTGAAGCAAGGAAGCAGGCAGGATCTTGCCCCCTTGGCTCTGTATGACTGAAGTGCTTTAGGCACCTTAGGCACATAATTGCCAAAGAATCCAGTCTTGTTGCCAACCTTGGTATTGGAGAGGGAGCCAGGGATTGTTGTAGAGTTGCTGGGACAATCCCTGCCTACCTCTGTAGTTTCAAAGCCTGGAAGTTAGGATAGATGCTGATCATGCTCATTGGGGTAGGGACTGTCTAGCTGCCCTCATTAGTGGAGCAAGCAAAGATGTGGAAGCCTGCTTAAGAACATAAGATGTGCTCTTGCTGGATCAGACCATAGCTGGCCCACCTATTCCAGTATTCTTTGTAAGGATCCAAGCAACCAGCAGACACTAGGTGGCCCACAAAAATTTGGTTGGTGGTAGACCATAATATAGCACCTGCTTGCTACAGAGCTGCAAAAAAATCTCCACAATTCTAAAGCCTCTTACCTGTAGCCAGGGGCCTGTTCTGTTGAATGTTGCAGCCAGGCTTGTAGCACCATAGAGCATAAGGACTGGATATAGGAATCCAAAGAGAAATCCTGTACAAGATCAGGCTGCCAGTTTATCTTTCTAAAGAGAAAGACATGTGAGAATCAGAAAGGTCTGATTCTTTCTGTCTTGAGGTCAGTAATTCACACATCTATTTTCCACTCTGGCTTTTCTTAAAAATCTAATTCAAGTAAACTTTCATTTTAAAATAGGGTGTATGTTCTGAACATGGGTTGTTTGTTCAGAATCCTACACTTTTTGTATGAGTTATAATATTGTATAGACATGAGGAACAATGCATATTTAAAAATTAGCCTCTAAAAGATGCACTGCAAAAATGGATTCTGTTTCATACCTGTGGCGTTTTATTGTTCAGATGGCATGTGTGTGAGTTGCGAGTTCTGCTTTTGGACAGGGGACTCGATGAGAAGATGGTCACATTCCCTCCATCCCTGTGTTCCCTTCTCGGATGAGTGTAATATGTGGATGTTTTTGCCTTTGCAGACAGCCTGGGCACTTCAACCTACCGCCCACCTGCCCGCACCATGGAAGTTGTTATAAATAAATACATGGTGAAGTTGAAATACTGCTATACTTGCAAAATGTTCCGTCCTCCCAGGACCTCCCACTGCAGTGTCTGTGACAACTGTGTAGGTAAGTTCAGAAAGAGTTGCCTTACAGGCTGTCAGGGTTGCAGTTCTTACCTAATCTTCCTGCTTCACTGAAGGCCAGAAATGTGTGAATTTGAGGCAGTGTGTCTCCTCTTCCATAATCAATCTCAGCTATGCCCCAGATGATGATATTTGAGTCTGGGTAGGCATACGAAGAGAAGTATTGTCTATTTGCAGAGTGAAGAGAGGGCTGGTCAGGACTTCCATTGGCTGGTTGATGGGCTTCATTGTGCTTAACAGATCGGATAGGCTTCATTGACTGTTGCGCCTCCCCACCCCAATTTTTGTTGTACTCCCATCTCCATTTTCCTGTTTTTGCTGCTTCAGTAACCATCCCCCCAATGCCAGACTTCAAACGTGAAAGCCTCAGTCTTGGAAGAACAATAATCTCTTGTTCTAAATTGCTCCAGGATTCTCTCTTGTGTACATGCAACAGATTAACTAAGCCATTTCTCTAGTGTCTTGGAGGAAGAATACATGAAGCACAATACTTGTAGAATTTCTAAGGTGTATGATGTTCTTTTTTATGTAAATTGCAGTGACTAGACAGTACTCCCCTCACTGAACACACACATACACAAAAATACATGCATTTTGAAAGCAAAACATTGGTTTCCTTGATATAGGATTTAAACTGACACATTGCACTGATTTGGGGAGCATCCTCTTGGAGAAGGGGAGATGTATATTCCTGGGAAAGATTGCCAAGTTCTTAGACATGCTAGGATCTGTTGAAGTAGTTATGGAGAGGTGACACAATATTGAGCGCAATGTAACCTTGCTGAAAATTCAAGGGACAGGCAAGTTGCAAAAATATTTCTGCTTTAAAGAAAATTCAGCCCTAAATGCCTTCCATTCCTGGGCTGTTTGTAATGGTGAATTTTTCCTTTAGCAGTGGATTGTAATAAACATTAAAGGGCATATCAAGACATGAACAAAAGCTGTGGATACGCCCACATTGTTAACTCTTGCCAGGATGTATAGTGCTTCAGGGGAGGGGGAGGTCTCTGGGAGACAATCAGTCATGAAATGGATTGCTGGATGCTTGAATTGCGCAGTTTCTTTCTCCCATTCTCTTTCTATATATGCTAAGGCAGTCTGATGAGTATACCTTCAAGAATTCAGTCTGAAAACAGATTTTCTTCCTCAGCCAAGTACATGTATAGTCATGTAGGTTATAGAGAGCAATTACAAGAACCAACTCGAAGGAAGTGTAATGTTAGGTTGAGTTGCTGGGCAGCACAGAACAATCATGTTCTGGGCAGGCTATGGCCAGCAGCCATTCAAAGGCTTTTCAGTAAGACATATGTTTTATATTCATCCAAAGATCTCAAGGCAGTTTGCAGCATAAAAATACAAAATAAACAGTATTCTTTGTGTGTGTAAGAGAGAGGAGAGTGAGGAATATAGGATCAGGGACCAGATATTACAACATGACTAGTGTACTTGTTTTTGTACAAGTAAGGCCACAAATCCTTGCTTTGGGAGTCTTTAAATGCATATAGATGTGGTAGTGCTGCAGGACAAGGAATATAATTTATAACAGGATAGATCCACGCAGTGGGCACAATGGCTAAAGGAAGACTTGGAGTTGGCTTTTCCACAACCAAGCCAACACCTGAATGTCCCCCGAAAGGTCAGCCCTCAACAAGGTTATGTGTGATACAATCAGAAGCATCCATTGATTTCAGACAAAGTGACTTAAAATGGCCACAGCCCTCTCCTTTTTTCTTTTTTTAAAAATCAAGTTATTATTCTCACTGTGTATATGTTAGAAGAGGACATGGTCCTAAGAGTGGCCTCCAGTATTATTATTTTTTTGCAGTGCATTTTCTTGAAAATATACTTGAAATGCTGAAAATAAAGCTGCCAATATAATAATGCTACTATACAAATCTATTGTGTGACTCCACTTGGAATGCTTTGTACAGTTCTGGATGCCACACCTAAAAAAGGATGTTCTAGAATTAAAAAAGGAAGCAGAAAGAGGCAAGCCAAATAATCAAGGAACTGGAGCAACTGCCCAGAGAGGAATGCTTACAACTTTTTAGGTTAGAAAAAATGTCAACTTTGGGGGCACAAGATAGAAATGTTTAAAATTATGCATAGCGTAGAGAATGAGTACAGGAGTGAGTTCCCATCTTCTCCCTCCCTCAAAATACTAGACCCAGTGGGACATCCAATAAAGCTGAATGTTGGAAGATTCAGGACAGACAAAAAAGAATATAGTACACAATATAAAGTGGAATTAATGGAATTAACCACCATAGGATGTAGCGATTGCCACCAACTTAAAAGGGAATTAGACAAATTCATGGTGCTGCTATGCTTCTTTCGCTTTTGTTTTCCTTGGGTTTGTGGTGTGTAAACCACCCTAATATTATCATCTTGTTGCCTTCCCCCCACAGAACGGTTTGATCACCACTGTCCCTGGGTGGGCAACTGCGTAGGGAAGCGAAATTATCGATACTTCTATGCCTTCATCCTCTCCCTCTCCTTCCTGACAGCCTTCATCTTCGCTTGTGTCATTACCCATCTTGCCCTGCGTAAGTATAGCTTTTAATCAAGTACTTTCTGAACCAGAAGCTCTTCAGCTGTCCCTGTAGGTGTCTGGGTGAGCACATTTCCAAGCCAGCATGCTTTTCAATGCACCATGCCACCAATCTCTTTGGATGGAGGGAGAATTTACAACACCAAGCCAACTGTAAAGTGCTATTTAAAAGCTGGTAGAACACAACATTTTACATATGTGCATTATCGTGCTAAATTTAGGCAAACCTATCCAGGATAGCCCAAAACTTGCCTCACTGCTTCAGTCTTCCTGAGAACCTGGGCTTCCAGAAGGGTTCTGTATGCTGTCAGTGTCACGTGACCTCTTGCATGCTTGAAATATAAAATGGCTTCGTTCAACTCATTCCTCTTTTTGCTTTGCTTTGCAGGCTCCCAGGGAAGTGATTTTCTCACTGTTTTGAAAGCAACACCAGCAAGATATCCTTTCACTATCGGCCTTCCTTCCCCCCTCCCCTCCTTTTTTTGTTGGGGACAAAGAAAGAGCCAGTTTAGCATAACAGATTCTAAAATCTAAAATGTCCTTCAATGTGTTTTCTGAGTGGGTAAAGCAAGAAACAGCCAAACTCTCATGATCACTCACACAGGGAATCTTCTTCTAGAGTCAAGGAAAACTTTTGCTTTGGGGCTCGATCTTTGTTAATCATCTCTTTTTTTCTTTTTGCAGAATTGTCCACATAATTCTGCCTAACAGCTAGGACTGATACAAAGAATGGCTTCATTTTGTAAAAATTTGACTACGTAGCCCAGTGTTTTCAATCGTGCCCAATCTGAAAAACAAATTCTCAGTGGCCCAAAGCAGAAATAATATTCAGCCCTGTGATCAGACTTCCCTTGTTGCAGCTTGCCTGGTGCCATGTTCATTTCTTTTTGGTGTCAAATGGAGACCTTTTACATCTTCATTTTAACCTGGCCTGTGTGGCTGTCCTGTATGATGTACTGCTTTACTTTGTTGCCGCCATTTGTTGTTAGTTTCATTTTCTTGTTTATGGGTTTTAAATTTTAAAAACCTGCTAATTTCTAGTACCTTTAACTAATCATTGAATCCTTTAAAGGACTGAAAAGCTGGGTATCTGATATTGCATATAAATAGCTAGAGATATCAGAAACTGAATCCTGGTCCTCTTGTACAGTATGTTTCTTGTTTTAGTGAACTATTTATGATAATTATCAACCAGTTTTTTTGTTCATGCCACCTTCCAGAAATATGCTGAAAGTGGTTTCAGGGGTGGTAAACTAAAGGAAAAGATGCTTGTCTAGGGCTATTTGGGGTGAGTGGGTTCTCCACAATCACATACTGATGTTCCTTCCTTGACTCTTCACTCACTGTGTTGGAATTGGTGGTCTGTTTTTTCTCAGTATGGTCTATTTTTGGCCTCTCAGGGTTTCACACTTACTTAGTTGCCTCCAACTTGACAACCAATGAAGATGTGAGTATATATTTTTTCCATCTCCGTTCATCAAATAGAAGCCCAATCACTCCTTATTAGGGTTTTAAACCAATTCCATAATCAAGTGGTGCTTGCTATCCACTATTTCTGTCAGATTCTCATACAAAATCCATCTGATTTCATCAGGACAACTTTTTAATTGATTATACTAACTTCTTATTTGATGAGATATGTTATAGTCCTAATTCATGACTGGGGATAAGAGCAAAGCAGCCCTTTATGCTTCTAAAGACTTTTATTTTATATTTGAATTTGTTAGTTGCTCTTATATTTAAAGTGTTCAGATTGGCTTGCAAGAGAACAATAAAATTCTATATTATGTAAGACTTTAATCAATATATGGGGAACAAATCATTGTCATGCACTCCTCTATTGTGGAACTCTCTGCTCTGCACTTCAATAGATTTCATATATGTAAATGGGGAGAATACAGAGTAAGGCCTCTTAGATCTCCAGCATATCTAAGAAGGTGGAGAGGTAATGATGCAACAATGCAGCACCAGGGCTCTCTATGATAGCAAAGTGTCATTGTGTGATTTATGTGCTTGTCAGTACAGTGGTACCTCGGGTTACATACGCTTCAGGTTACAGACTCAGCTAACCCAGAAATAGTACCTCGGGTTAAGAACTTTGCTTCAGGATGAGAACAGAAATCGTGCTCTGGCAGCGCAGCAGCAGCAGGAGGCCCCATTAGCTAAAGTGGTCTTCAGGTTAAGAACAGTTTCAGGTTAAGAACGGACCTCCGGAACGAATTAAGTACTTAACCCGAGGTACCACTGTATGTACCAACTTTCATAATAGAACATTAAGATGATACAAAAATGCAGATGGTGCTCTCCACTGAATGGTTATAAATTGTGCAAAAGTCAAAGGATTGTAGGAGACTTTCAGGAGAAAATGTATTGTATAGATGACACACACACACACGATTTCAGTTGAGGCACTAAACAATTGCTGTGTTGTGCATTTTGAGCCCTCTTAAAAAGTTTAAGATTCAGCCACTAACTTGTCAAGAGAGGGAGTAGTGTTTGCATGAAACCCCTTCTTTGCTTCCCTCTAACCAAACAGTTGAAAGTTCCATCCTTTGGATTAGTGTGAGAAGATTAGTAGCATTAAAATATACAGTTGTTTGTGATGGAACATTCACAAATAAATGGTGTGTGCTTTGAACTTGATATCTTTAAATTTGTAAATTTTCACTTGAATCACCCATGCAACCATTTTGGCTCCCAAGGTCCAAATTTCCCCACCCATCTGTCAGTCATAGGATGTCATATGACTGAGCACTTGGTGGGCCACCCATCTGTCAAAATTCCTTGTGCTTTGCAAAACTTGTGTGCTTCTCTTCTAAGCCCCTGATCTCAGACTCTTAAAAGAGGGAGATTTGTAAAGGGTTCTGCTAGTCTTCTTCCTTCTGCCTTTAAGTCCCCAATCTCAGAGGATTAAAAGGGGAGCAGGAGGAGACTCACAAAGCTTTTTGCAAGTCTCCTCGTGCTTCCCTTTCTAAGCCTCCAAGATGAAGAACTTAAAGCGGGAGGGAGACTTGCCAAAGGCTTTAAGACAGCCCCAGTTTTCCGATTTGACCCTCCAGAAGCTCAAATGGGAGCACAGGGGCTGTCTTAAAGCCTTTGCAAAAGCCTCTTTGAAATAGCTCTCACCAGCTATTTCAAAGGGTGTTTTTGCACAGACTTTAATCCCCACTCAGATGTTGAGCGGGGATTAAGTCCTGCTGCCTGCTGGGAATAGGATAGCACAGCCAGTGCAGGATTAAACCCCTGGTGATGTCTGCTAATGGGTGGGTGGACCTAGTTTTAAGAAAACGGCCTTGCATGTGAAATTAAGTTAGCCTGCAAGCTGGAGGTTTAGTTTATGTCTTTAAATTAGGGATAGGGAAGCTGTGACCCTCCAGATGCACATCATGCTGGTGGGAGTAGCAACAACATCTGAGGAGTGCCAGTTGCTTCCAGCCTTCCTGTAGAAGAGTGATGCGGAACTTGTGGCCATCCAGATGTTGCTGGACTCCAACTGGACCCCTTGACCATGCTGTCTGGGGCTGATGAGAGTTCAACAATATCTGGAGGGCCACATCTTCCTTGCTCCTAATGCAGATAGATCATAGAAATTACCTAATCATGTTAACTAAAGGCAGCTGCAAGTTCAGTCACTTTGCATTCTGTGGACAGTTGTTTTCTTCAGAAATTCCTTCATTGCTGAAGTGTGCAGGCACTTCTGTGATTTGCTGATTCTTCAAAACTTGTGCATGTAGTCTATCTGCTCCAGAGCGTATATGAATGACTCCAAGATGACTCCAAAATTATTTTATAGAACATCCCAACACATGATTTTCATTATCTCCTGCCTCCCTTTCCTTTCCCTAACCATCTCTCTCTTGGATTGTAGCTCAAAGGAGCATGGTCAAATAAAAGAGGCTCTGAATTTGCCAACCCCTACAGCCATAAAAGTATCTTCACCAACTGCTGTGCAGTGCTCTGTGGACCATTCTATCCCAGGTAAGGATGCTTGCTCCAGAATACCTGCTCCTGAATCATGTTCAAGTTAGGAGATAGATAGTGAACAGCAGTATGAATTGATGTGTGTGTCAATGTTGATTTGATAGGTAAGATATCCCAGAAACCCAAAAGACAGGGACTTGCTAACTTGCCTAATTTTGCTTCTACTTTCGAATTGTAAAGTTGAGAGGGATGTTGCTGTTTTCTGCCATGACTGGCTTCTACTGCTACTCTGTGCTACTGTGCATGTAGGGAGAAACAACCAGTGTGTCAGGATCACACAGGTGGCCCATCACCGTGAGTAAGCAAGAAATGGACATGTGCTTCCAAAGGTGGGAAGCTAACTGCAAAAACTATCTATACTGCTCAGAATGATAGCTGCTTCCTCCTTACAGCTTGAGAGAGGTTGGTCACATTCACACATAACACAAAGTTGAGGTTATTGGCTTAATAAATCATACTAAGCACAAAGTGCATGCGAATCAATTGCTTCCACCTCGTTCCTCCCCTGGTGAGAGTATGCAAACACATCACAAAGGGGATGGTTTGGCATTGCCTCTAAACCCAGCATTGTGGTTGGTTTTGTCCTAACAAACAGCGATTGCTCACCAACCTTAAACCATGGTTTGTTGTTGGCTTACTGGTGGTGGCTTGTTAGGATGAAACAAACAATGATCCTGGGTTCAGATGCAACACTAAACTGTCCCCTTCATGGTTTGTTTACTTGCTCATGCCAGGAGAGGAGTGAAGCAGGACTGATTAAGTTGCATGCACGATATGATTTGTTAAGCCAAGAACCTTTGCTTACCATTATGTGCACACATGTCTGTTGAAACAACACAGAAAACATACTCCTGTGCAAAACATAGACTTGGAAAGATGGAGGAAATTAAAAGAGATGGCGGTGGGGAGGGCTTGGGGGACGAGACTTAAACTAAAGGCAAGCAAGAAATTAAATGTTGAATGATGCAGAGCTCACCCGATATATTTTTGCACTTGAGGCAGGAAATTCAAGTTCATCCCCTCTCTCTCTCCTCTCTCTGTCCCTTAATATCACACACAAATTGCCTCCTTCAGGCAGCTTTTCCACTCAGCCTCATGGCAGACCCAACCCTGGAAAGATGTCAGATCCATAGTGGTCTGAATTGCAAGTGCTATTATGAGCATTTGACAATTGCTTCTGTGAGAAATCTCCATTGAGTAACATTCTTGTCTGTCTAGCACACAGTTCTTCTGTATTTACAGATCCAAGTTTAATCTACCTGGTGCCTCGCTGATAATCCTAATTTAGCAATCTTCATGTAGTCACAAGGGGGCAGAATTGGACAAAATGAAGGGCAATTATATCACTAGCATGTGGTGCTTATGAGATGACTCCTTGAAGGAATTCATGAATACATAGACAGGAGGAAAAGTTGTCAGCAAAAGGTTTTCCATATAGAGTTTTTGGGAAGGATGATTTGGGCAGGACCTTTTGTTTCTGTTAAGTGGTTTCTATGGTATCCTGAGAAAAACTGGACATCTATGTGAGCCGTAACTTTTCCACAACTACAAAATTACATCAAATAGTCACTCCATGAACACTAAAGTTCAAATTAGGCATGCCTCTTGGAAGTCTAAGAGGGTTCTTGATACTGTATGTTAGATGGTACAGCCTGACAGTGGTCGAATGAAATCAGTGAAATATAGTGAAAACTTTTTTTATTGATTTAAATGTTTATATACTGCTATATCAGAAAAATAAAGCAGTTTACGTAAGAGGTTGTAATGTATGAGGCAATGTGTGTTTTGACAAACTCCTGCTGAACATGTCTGCAGTCCAAGAACTACAGTGGAACCTTGGTTTCTGAATTTAATCTGCTCCGGGAGTCTGTTCGATTCCTGAAACAGTTTGGGAACCAAGGCTGCAGCAGCTTCCAATCAGCTTCCAATCAGAAGCCGTGGAAGCCGCACTGGGCGTTTGGCTTCCAAAGAATGTTCGAAAACCAGAACAATTACTTCTGGTTTTCGTTTGTTCGGGAGCCAGAACATTCAGCTCCCAAGGCATTCGGGAGCCGAGGTTCCACTGTAGTTGAAGAGCTCTTTCAGCTCAGCTTTTTTACAGTTACTTTTTGTGCCACTGTTATTTTGGATTCCTCAGCTCATGTCAATGGGCAATGAGCTGCTCTCATCATATGGGAGTCTGGTCTTTACAAAACTTACTCAGAATTTAGCCATGATTTAACAGTACTTCCAGTAGACAGAACTCCATACCATCCAAACCACCTGCAAGAGACACACTAAGTGTTTGATGGGCCTTGGACTCTTCACTAATCCCTTCCTGGATGGGGGAATTTATCTGCTTCAGGCCTTCTTGAAGGGAAAATTCAAGGTTTTTCTTTATGAACATTCACCTAAATTTTTGACCACATGCCTTTGTATTCCTTTTTAAACATATTTATCATTGTTTTAAAAACCAGGAAGAGAAGACGCAAGTAAATATAATAAAGAAACATACTTTTCACCATCCATAATGCAAATCTTGATCTCCCCACCCAAGGGGCCAACTTTGAAAGAGACCACTCACCTCTCAGTTATCTGACAATATAATGACATCACATTTGGCACATGAGGAGGAGAGAGTGACCAACAGGACTGAACTTATGCACCAGCTGATGCACAAAGAGTTCTTTCCTTCTTTATGTAGAGCTTGGGGGCTTGAGAGTGTTCCCTGCAAGGAACTCACACATGCACTTGAACCAAGTGGGATTTAGGTTCTCTACCCTTGCACTAATGCATAAATGATGCCCCTGATTTCATGTTTGTGATCCAAATGCAGATTGGAATTCCCACCTCATCCACAAACATGCATTGACAAGGTGAAAAAGTGCTGCTGCTGCTGCTCATTTGGTTTAGCATTGATTACCAGACTGACCTCCCTGTTCCTTGTTTTTCTTCTTCCCCACTCTAGCCTAATAGACAGAAGAGGATTTATCCAGGCAGATGCTGGGACCCCATCCACTCCTAAGAGTGAAATTCCTTCCTTTGGAACGAAATCCGATGCCAGCATGGTATGAGCCAACCCTTAAGCAGTCCTATGCCTACCTCCAGCCGGTGCCTCTCCTCCATTTTACCATTTCCTGGGCCCAGGAAGGACAGCCTTGTAGGGCGGAGCCTCCAAAGTTCCTACTCAAAGCACATCCCATCGCCTTGTGCATTGATTTTTATTTGGTTTCATTTTTATACAGTGGAACTTAAATTGAACACTGCGGACTGCTGCAGTTAAGCCTCTAGACAGGGCCGTCTTTTCACAGGGGGGAAAAGAGTACTGGAGCCGCTTAGAGCAGAGAGTGCCTCTGGTTGGGAAATGCCAGCTTCTTGAAAGCCATCTATTCGCAGAGGGTCTTCTGCAGGGGTTGGTTGAAAAGGATGTAGTAACTTGCATGGAGTTAGTACAATGAAGCAGGGGGAAACCAAGGTATCATCCCTGAAGCTATACTCCAGGTTATTTTTGAACTTGCTTCTTGGTTAAGGTGGACCGCTCCGCATGAGGGATCTGACCACAAAAAATAATTGGTGCTGCCCTAAGTTGTAAGGCAGAGAGCTGAACCATTTGAGGACGCAGCACTCCATGCCCTAGCAGCAAGTGGTGCTTGCTGATCTGGTTTGCCTGGCTCCCACCGATGGGAATGAAGGGGGTGCAAACAGTTGAAGATCCCTAAGAAAGATCCTGAGCAGATCTACTTGATCAGCAGACAATGATTTCTCACTTTGGGAACTGACTGGGAGTTGTCATTTCAATTGCATGATTGCTGTGACAAGAGGATAAACACAGCCCAGTGAGGTTCTTTGTTTAATGGTTAGGAAAAAATGAAGCAAGCCAATCTGAGATTCTTAAGTGATGTGAATAGAGATGAGACATAATTCATTGATGTGCATATGGGTGAGAGAGCTATGGTGGGGGTAGGGGTAGGGAAATCCATACACAGGAGACCTGTTGACCAAAGGCTATTTTCAAAGAGGAATTTGGAGGAATATCTTCCTGCGTACACTGTCCAAAAATAAGCTTGTTTCCTTTAGGAAGTTGAGGCCATTCACTTCGATTCTTAACCAGTGACGTAAACATGTTTCTTCTTACTGAAGATCCTCTTGCAGTGCCTCCCATCTTGTTCTGCTGAGTCCTTATGCATATAGGAAGGTTAAAATATGTTAGATACTTGAAATGTGTTTATTAAAAGCTGCTGGATATTTTTGCACATATTTTGTAGGTTTTTCTAAGGGTTTTTTAAAAAGTGACTTTTTACTATACATAAACCTGTGTCACAGGTTCTTGGAACCATGTTAGATATATAATTATTATTACAGTGTTGAATTTTTTGTATCAAGTAATTTACATACACAAAGATCTCTAAGCCATTATTTCCTAGACTTCATCAGTCCATAGGAAAAGATGGGGAGCCCAGAGCACACATTACAGCTAGCTAGATTCTCCTTTCTTATCCCTATAACCTGTAGAAACTAGGGTTTGTGGAAAACATGGTAGGATCTCTGGTCTCAAAGGGACAAATAAAGGGACATGAGCATGCCTTTCCCTGCCTTGCATCTACAGAGAATCAGGAAAGGACAAACATTGCATTTTTAAAAAATAAAAATTGGCATAATTGAAGTCACCTTGTAGGAATTTGTACTAATAGATAGCGATTGAGTTAGCAGTTGGATAGTGAATAAGTCAGATCTTTCCTTCCAACGTCATTCATGCTGTTCAGGGCCATGTGTTACATCCATCAGCACTTTTGAGTAGCACCACCCCATTCAGCAGAATGTCCTTGAGAGCGATCAGTTACAACAAACAAGCACCTGGCAGACTTCACCCACTGGCCACGTAGAGGATTCTTGTAAGGGTTTTTCAGACGGGCAGCAAATTACCCAGCCCTGTAAAGAGGTATGTGTTTTGTGAAGAGGAAATTAGCATCCTCCACTCTCCATTAGTAAGAGTTAACTGACATATTGTGGTGGGAGTAGCCAACTGTGTGTCCTCAAGATGTTTTTGTACTATAACTCCTATCATTCCTAACCATTTATAGGGCTGTCTGGGGCTGATAGGAGTTGGACCTAGAAGTTCCTTATCCCACAAGTTCCTTAACCCTGTTCTATGCTTCCCTTGCTTTTCTTATTAATTTTGATTGTTCAGACAGCATAGTCCCATTCTAATGTGTTTGCCTGACAAATCAGGAGAGTTATAATGAGAAACCAAGAAACTCATATAATCACTTCCCTTTCTAAAACTTGGGTTTGTACTTAAGACAAGCTCAGGTACATACTGGACCAGGACCATACTGGAACATTCTGCTGGTGTCTAAAGACTTCCACACCATTTCCCATTCAATCAGGTGTGTGTCTGGACTTCATGATACACACCCATCTCTATAATAGGCCTGCTTGACCAGCATATTTATTCTGATAGGTAAAATTAGGCTTATTCATAGTGCAGATCTGAAGGGTTTTGTAACTGATCGGCCTCTTGGAGAACCTCTGAGTATGACTTATCCCCCAGGAGGTATGACAGGTCTTGCAGTTCTCTTCTGCTAAATATAGGACCCCAAGATACTATGGGTTTCCTAGCTAGTTCTCATCCTGACATCTGGATGCTATTGCAAAGGCTATTCCAAGTGTTGTGCTGGCTGATGCATGGGACAAGCGCTTGAACTCATGTGCCACTTAGGCAAGTGCCAAATCCGTTAATATTAACAGTCATGAACCTTGATGTTGAAGGCAGCAGTGCCCCCCAGTTGTGCTCTGCATCATGCCAGAGATGATGTCAGCCTGTGCTGTTCCCATCGCAGCCACATTAACAGTCTCATCTGTGAAGGGTGCATTTCCAAAGGATAGCCTTGCCAGCAAAGCAGTTTTGGTTGGCCAATGGAGCCCCAAATGTTTCTGGAACTACCTGCTGAAAAGATAGCAGCTTTGCTTTCCAAGAGTTGATCTTATTTGGAAACACACTCATTTCTTGTACAACATTTCAGGAACAGACTCAGAAGTGCAGGAGGGAGAGAAGATTCCTGGCTTCCATAAGCCAGGCACACTAATCATTGTCCGTCCTAGATTACCCTCTTATTTACAGAAGGGTGGCCTCATTCAGTTATCAGGGAAGGATCCTGTTCTTGTTGAGGGAGAGCTCATGCCACCCTCCAGCACCATCATATTTGTAAAGCTCAGGTGGGGAGGGAGGGGACAAGGACTTGTAGCAGTGTTACGTCTGTGTGGGGAGTTTCTTTTGTTATTTGCTTTTGTAATAAAAAAATTATTTTTAAAGAGCTAATTGCTTTGGATTTTGTGTTTGCATTTCCTTAATGCTAGATTTAAGAAGCTCAAGCTCAAGCTCCTTCCTATGCAAGAAGCTGAGCTTGGGCAAATCACTGGAGGAAGAACACCTGCTGGTTAAGATGGTTGCCTGGATGCTGACACTAGAACCCAGCAGGCATAAAAGCAACTACTAAGGGCTCTCATTGTGGTTGAGGATATACATGGGGGGGTGGGGATCTGTGTACTGTTAATTGCAGTGATTTAGTAGTGTAGAGTTTCAAAGTAGCCATAACTTAACCTGGCCAATCCCCGCACAAAGCACGTTATGCTACTGATGGAGGGCACCCATGCTCTTTCTTTCTCTCTTCCCCTTTCCCTCCCCCAATTCTACTTCCCCAAACCTGAGACTGCCATGGTGCATAATCTCTGGTGTCTTCTCTAGGAGGATGCCTGCCAGGACTTTGCCATATCTTGCACTGCCTGATGGGATAACCCCATCCCACAGGATGGGTTAGCACTGCTCTCTGAAGGTTAGCTGGTAAGAACGCATTGGTTTTTCCCCTCTCGCCCTCATCTGGTGAATCATCTCATTGTTGCCGCATGAATTGCTTCAAGCCTGGAGCCCATCTATCCCTCCAGTCTGTGTGGCTGTTCTCATTTTGTTGTGTGCCCTACAACCCATCCCACCAATAGCTTAAGCCACGTGAAGATCTGTGAGGCCTGTGTGACAGCAAGGTAGCCTTGAGGGATAGGTTAGGAGAACCTTGAGCAAATGAGATAGATGTTCATGGTACCTTCTACTCTCACCTCCCACGGCAGGACTCCCTGTGGCACTAAAACCATCATTACACATGTGGAAGTTTTCCAGGCAATCTTTTCAACATGATGGGAACATGTTTTTACACATAGTGCGTTTCTTGCCATGTATGGGCTACTGCCAGATGCCCAGCTTACCCCAGTGGATTTTGAGACTACACAGAAGGCAGGAAATGTCTTCACAGGCTTTTTTGGCAGGTCTTTACACTTCTGTATGATAGCTTGGAGGACTAAAAATGAAAATTACCTCCCATGTACTAGTTACTATCATAAAGTAGTCAAAAACTAGGCAGAAACGTTTAGGTAATCTCTTGTTTGTGTAAATCAAGTTATAAATTAAGGTAGGATTGTGGTTGAGCCTAACAGATGTCATGAGTATGCCATGCAGTTATTTCCCAAAAGCTGGGACCAGGGAGATGCTTAAGCCAGACCCGGGGGTGGGGGTGGGGTCCAAGTCCCAATACTGCCAACTCATTATTGCAACTAGTAGCAGATTATTTTTTTATAGTAGGTTATCAGCTCAAAACATTTTGGGGTGCAGAACAAGGGATGATGTCCAGGATCATCAGCCTGCACCTACCTTGTTTTTATAAAGGTTCTTTTTGTTCATGGCAGGTTAAGTTGGGGACAGGGTAGAAAATATCACCACTTTGCATTTATATATAACTTTTTATATAGTATGTGAAGAGCTTCACATTATCCCTGTTTTTCTTATGACTACCCTGTATGATCAGTCTTCTCCCTATATTTCAGGTGGGACAGAGGCTGTGTGTGGGTGGTTTGCCTAATAGACCCACTCTCACATTTGAGGTGACAATTGAACCAAGGACTTCTTGGTTTACAGCCCAGTCTCTTAACCATTACCCCAGCTTTTTAGTGAAAAGCCAGAATCTAATCTGCTATCTTGGCTCTGCTCTTTTAATGGCTGTTGCCCCCACCCTCTCTGGTGCTCTCATTTTGTTGCCATCTCACGTCCTCCAAAATGAGGCTTAACCGTATCACATCTGTATGTCCACTGCTGGTAAGTAATTATGAGGATGCTTTGTTTGACAACAGTGTTGAATAAGGTGTGCAGGTGTTTCAAAACTCTGCTTCTCATTTGATTCAAAAGAGTATATTGATGTATGGAAGTTCATTGTCTTAACTTTGGGAAGTTCTGAATGCTTATATTACAGATAGATGGCCTGAGGTCTTGAGATGGACTAAAAATATGGATGTTCTGGAATAAGAGATATCTAGCAGCATTATCACTCACAAACAGTCTCATATTTTAATGTCTGTTTGCCTGGCTTGAATTGGTGCTGTTGCCCAGCCTCTAGGTTTACTTGTTGTGACTGTTCCATGGCAAAAATAGTCATAGCTTCCCAAAGTCTTTGATTTATATTAGGGATGGGCAGGGAGAGGGGTCTGACTCTTGAGCCTCTTACCAAACCACCCCACCCCTCGCCAGGAGTGCTTTGCACCCTTCCTTGAGTGTCTTTGCCTTGAACTCTGATAATACTTTTTCACTTGCCTGGATGAAGGATAGTGTGTGTGACGTGTGTGGAAACAAGCCTGCTGTACCAAGGTAAAATTAACATTCATTGCTCCTTCTGGCCCTGCTCATTGCTGTCATTTGCCCCCTCAAGCTTGCCTAGGGCTGAAAAACAGGTTCCCCACCCCTAGTTTATATGCTACCCTTGGTGAAGAAATGCATGTTAATCGCCCACTTGCCCACCTCACTTTCTCCTGTCTCCCATCAACAAAAACAAATCTGGAGAACCTTCCTTATATCTTGCTCTCTCTTCATCTTGCCTTCCCCACTCCCCATCACTCACACAGAAGGGAGAAAGCTGTTGCTGCCCACTTGTCCTTGGCAAGAACAAAAAAAAAGGAGCAGCAGCTGGGGCAATGAGGGTTCTGCTAGCCGATAAAGCGAACTGCTTAGGTTGGGCTCGCGGCGACAGTTCTCTCCTTGCTGGAGTGCTGGGCAGAGCAGAAGAAGACTGAGCACTTGGGTTGAGCTGTCCAGCCATCTGCCCATCTGCCTGCATTCACTGCTAGGGAAAGGGTGGGAGGTGAATTCCAAGTAGAACCCATTCCAGGCAAAATGCAACTTGCTTCCATCTCTTCCCCCGCAGCCTGAGTGCTCAGCAACCCAGCAAAGCCTCTATTCACACCAGGGGCAGCCAACGTGGTGCCCACCAACAGCTGTTGGACTGAAGCTCCCATCACCCCTAAACATTAACCATGCCGGTGGCAGGTTGGAATCCAACAACTTCTGCAGCTTCACATTGGCTATTTCCTACTTAATGACTGTTGCTGCATTTACAGTATTGTATGATGGGGGCAGTGTGAAATGAAGTTCCTAGCCATCCTGCTGAAAGTGGGCCGTGTATGTGTCTGAATGGAAGAGTCCATCAAACGGTCCTTTACCACACTATTTCTAGTGCTGAGATGCTCCATGAACTTTGGGACACTTCTCTCTTCTGATGTGGCAGCAGAAGCTGTAGCTAAAACAGATGCCAAGGGAAGTGAATTAAGTGACTTGGGAGGCAGCCTGGCACACTTGGCTTCTGCCTGTATTTTGCTATCCAGACATTATGAGAAGATCTTCATTCCTTGCCTGTCCTTTTCTTACACTTGCATGCCCACATGAAACACTAATCAGAAACCTTTTTGTTTTTTTGTAATTACACTTAACTAATCAGGATCACTTTGAAATCCCTTTCTTTGGTAGTCTGAAATACCCAACGCCTCCTTTTCCTGACATTTCTCACCTGAGCATTCATAAAGTCATCCTTACCAAAATGGCACTTGTTCCACATTTACCCAAACCGCACTAATTTCCCAGGATCTTCCCCCTTCCTCCTCTTTAGCTTGCCTGAAGACACACCTACTCCTGTGAACATCCTTTTTTCTATCTCTGGTGTTTCCTTTTACTAATCCTATCTCTTTCTCTCTCTTTTTCCCCCCCTTCCTGCACTGCTTGGGAACATCCAGTGTGTCCGGGGCACAAAAGAGATTTTGAGGACCCTCTGCGCCTCGTGGCAAAACCCAAGGCAACCCCAAGAGGCTCTGTCAAATATCTGAAAGTACAGCCATTGCCACCACCTGTGCCTCTCTACCCTCCAGGGCTATCTATTTATTTATATTTAATATATCGCTGCATCTCTTCCCGTTTCACAGCAAGGATAGGGAGATGCCACATGCACAAGGAAAAAGCTACTCCAAACCCTCTGGCAGAGGTTGCTCCTGCTGTCTGTAGGGTTCGAAGCTTAAAGCCATACATGCCACCTGCTGTGAGTGCAATAACGGGAGTTCCTATTTTTTTGTGGGTGGGGGGAATGGACTCTAGCATCTAAGCACATCAAGGCCGGGGAGAGTTTTTATCTAGTCTTGCTCTGCAGAAAAGATGTCTCAAGGCTCCAGAGATTCTAGGAGATAATTGTGTTACTTTTCTAGTCAATTGAAGGCACCCACCTCTTCTCTGTCCCCTCCACCCCGATCTGCTTGTGATGTCAAGAACTGATGTGGTGTCTTTAGCTGCAGCAGAGCAGGGCCCATTAAGCTGTGTTTGCACTAGCTGTTTAATGTGCTCCCACTTGATGCAGTTGGTCAAAACTTGCATCTGTTTGAATGCGATGTGGTGCATTAGAACTGTGAACCAATACCCAGGGCTCTGTGTGTCTGTGTGTGATGTGATGTGGTTCCACAGGAGCATTAAAAACAATTTTGTTTTAATGTGGTAATGGATGCAGAATTCCTGTTCCTGAGAATCATATGCTTTTTTTCTTTAAAAAGGGCAAGCTCTAAACCTTAATTGTTACAAAGATATGCTTACTATGTGTAGGTGCTGTTTCTGCCGAAATTTCAAAGCCAGAAGGGTAGCAGACTTGGATTTCCAATGACTCAAGGTGGAGATTTGGTTCTCTACATCACCTTTCACTCCTTCCCATCACTGGCGAAAAAACAGAAATATGCAAATTTGTTAAATGATTATGTAAATAAGTCAACTAGCATAATTTATACACTGCGGAATTTAGCTTTTCATGATATAGAACTTTCTTTTCTTCTACCTTCTTAAGCACAGAGTGGTACACAGCCCTGCTGTATAGGATGCTGTGCCTAACCGCTGTCTTGGGCTGCCCCACGAGGATGAGCGCAGCCAGGTCACCCCTGCCGAAATGCACAAATGTAGCTGATACAGCCTGCAAAGCAGGATTTTGCATAGGCTGTGGATTAGAAAACCCACATCTAAGCTGCTTATTCAAACTTTTGAGTGTTGGGGGAAGGTGCACACTCCTTGGGTGTAGTCAGATAGGAATTTGTACCTTCCGGCATTTTAACTTGCTAATAAGCTCACTTGTTTTTAGGATTCATTTAGATCTATTCCCTCTCTTTCATCCTCCACACCAAAAATAAATAAATAAATAAATATACCATTAACAGTATTTTGTAGTGCTTATCTAACAGTTCCTGTACAGAATTCTGCCTTGCCTCACCTTTTGCAGGTAGGTGAGGGCCAAGGAGCAGGGAGGTTGTCAGGCGGCTCTATACAGAGAGCAAAACCAAACCCTTTCGGTCCCTTAAGTGTAGTTGTGTAGGGTTTGAAATTCAGTTATGCCTTTCACTTTTGTAACAATAAAATTTCTCCTATCTTACTCCATGACTGTCTGGTTTTTGCGTTTTAATTGATGGAAACATCTTCTTTGCAGGGCTGTCCATTTTTCTTTGCTGCCTACTACTGTTTAGACTTAAATCTGCAAAGGCTAGATGGATAAAAATAGCTGGTACGAGGCAGCTTTGTATGATATTCTTTCTCTCTCTCTCTCTCTCTCTCTCTCACACACACACACACACACACACACTTTGCATTGTGTACCACAGAGCTGGGGAACTTGAGTCCCTCCATCTGTTGCCTGTCTCCAGCTCTTATCATCCTTGCTCATTGGCCAGGCTCGCTGGAGGCTATAGTCTAGCAACATCTGCAGGCTCACAGGTTCCTCACTCCTACTCTACAATGTAGAGAGGCTCCTACACATATGAGAAAACGTGGTACAGGAACTGACAACTGTGGTGGATTTTTACACTACATGGAGCATTTTTATGGTACAAGCAAGGCAATGTCACTCCATACTTATCAAGTCATAAGTGTTTCTCAGACTCTAGGACAAAGACTAATGTCTGTTCTTGTAATGCATGGTTGGATAATCAAGAAAAATGAATGGAACCCAGATCTCCCTCTTTCATTGTTATTTAAATGTTGAACCAAGATAATCAGTACTTAGTTGTTAAAGAAGACTGCTGCTCTGGGTTGCATCTGCTCTCTATGTACTGAGACAGCCTACTTTACCTTTTTATTTTGCAGCATTTATGTTGCTGCATGTGCAAAAATATAAATTGGCTGGGGGAGCAGAAATCTGGGAAGGATACTGGAAAGTCTGACAACCATTCTGTGTCAAGCTTTCTATGTTCAGAACCCCCTTCTCTATATTTTTTTGTTCTGACATTTTTTATTTTTAACATGCAGAGTTCTGGCACCCTTTGTGCTGTAGCCTTGTTTTTTCTTGGTGCCGAGTAAATAAATAAAATAATAATAATAATACCCCACCCATCTGGCTAGGTTTCCCAAGCCACTCTGGGCAGCTTCCAACAAAATATTAAAAATACATTAAAACATCAGTCATTAAAAACTTCCCTAAACAGGGCTGCCTTCAGATGTCTTCTAAAAGTCAGATCATTGTGTATTTCCTTGACATCTGGTGGGAGGGTGGGTGCCACTACCGAGAAGGCTCTCTGCCTAGTTCCCTGTAACTTCGCTTCTCGCAGTGAGGGAACTGCCAGAAGGCCCTCAGCGCTGGACCTCAGTGCCCAGGCTGAACAATGGGGGTGGAGACACTCCTAAATGCAGCCCTAGCACGAGGTTCGAAAGTAGACAGCATGGACACTTCTCTTTCATGATGGCAGCATGCTCTGTACTGTTTGGAACACAGATGTCTGACATTCCAGCCTGTCATAGTGAGTTTGAGCCTTTCCTCTCTAGCAGGGCTTCCCAAGCTGTGGTCTACACGGCTGTGAAGAGTTCAAATTGTAATACAGCGAAATACAACATATGAAATAAAAGCAGCAAGCAAAATACAATTAAAACAGTAACATGCTGCACCTGTGCTCTGCATTTGCTAAAGTGCTTCACCCAGGCCCTCAGCAATTATCGAGTACTGGAGTCCATGGGGAGGTGGGGAGGGGCAGGGAGGAAGTGTGGGAACATTCATATATCTAGTTATTTACAGCATAAAGTAAAAGTTGCTTACGGTTTAAAATATGACTCAGAGGTGGCTGGAGTGGCAAGGATAGTGGAGGGATGTTTGTGGGCCAGAAATCTTGTGCATATTTCAAACTTTGGGTTGCCTGAGGTTAAGCATGTGTTTCATAGGGCAGGTGGGTTTTGAAGCGATAATAGGCACCAGCCAGAGCCCAGTTGGTAGCATTTATCTCAACCCTAGGGCAGCCTTTCAGGCCTCTAATTGGAAGGACACCAAGCACTCGCTCTCACACACAATAATTGCCAGTTAAGTCACTGCTGTCATCACAGTGTGTCTGTGGAAGGAGATGAAAAGGCTCTAGGTTACTCCTCTGCCTTAGGAAGTCACTGTCCATGGAGGTTCAAATCTCTCATCTACTATCTCTTAAAGCACCCCACCCCCAAAGAATCATGGTAACTATAGTTTATGCATGACAGCTACAATTCCCAGCATCCTTAACAAACGACAGTTTTTCTTATTTGTGGGGAGATATGTGCTTTTTAAAATATGGCAACCCTAGGATATTGACTTAGCTTACAGCAGGAATGGGTAGCCTGTTGCACTCCAGATATAGCTGAATTACAATTCTCCATCATCCCTGAGCGTTGCCCATGCAGCCTGGGACTGGTAAGAGTTGGAGTTTAATAACATCTGGAGGGGCATGAGTTTCTCACAGAGGCTCCCCTTAGAGGCTTTGGATGCTCAAAAGCGCTTTACATATGCTAAGTATTGTTCCCTGATGTGGACAGCTGTTAGCCCTGAGAAGATGGAACCGCTTTACACAGAGGTAATATACCTGCTGGGATTCCTCCCCCATTTTATTTTATTTTAACATCCTGCTTTTAGACTTTCTGGAGGCAGCAGGCGTCTGACTATTGCTGGGAATGTGAGCAATAGCCATCTTGTATGAGCTGAAAATACTTCTTGGTGGCTTAGTCATGACATCAGTATGCTGACCAGCAGCAGGCAAACCCCTTAGATTCGGAGCTGACTCAAGAATCATGAACTTTCTTGGTGAGTGATTAGAAAACACTCATCTGTTTCCCTAGAGTTCTCGCCTGGCTTGCAATGGTGCATTTGCACTGATGGTACCAGCCGCATGCTCATTATATTGTGTTCTCTCCTGGGAATCGTATTCCAGTACCACCAATGCCAGAAAACTGCTTGGAAATTCAGCCTCCCAAACCAACATAGCCACAGACTTTGGGGACATTGCTAATGCCAGCAGAAGCACTGTGTTTGTCATGAAAAAGTGCCACACAGGCATATAATTAAGTGTCCTGCGATTCTGCAATCTGATACAAGACACTCCCTTAAGAACCTGCAGGAATGTGAGGAGGTTGCAAGTGTAGCTCAAGAACCACCTTAGCGCAGAATCTGATAGCAGACGCCCACAAGGTTATTTTGTTTTCCGGTGCGATTGTTTTTTATAACATTTCTATTACCACCCTTCCTATAAAAGGCTGTGTACAATCAAGCAATGAAAACACAGGGACCCTTGACAAAAAACGCAGCCCCTCCAAGTCCCAATAGCTTGAGGAAAGAATTCACCATTTGCGAACAGTTTTAATTTATTTGGATTGGAATCTTGGGGAAATACCCTGTCCCTAAAACAGGCCAACTTCCTTGCACAACCAATTAGCAATATATGGATCTGAGTCAGACCCATGACCCATCATCTATATGGGCTGACAGCAGCTTTCTAGTTTTTCAGGCAGTGTCCCCCCCCCCCCTCATCACTTGCTGCTTTTTCAACTGAAGAGGGTCAGAAATTGAACCTGGGGCCTTCTGCATATAAATCAGGTGGTTTTGGCATATAGCATATAGCACTCTTCAAATACTTGGTATGCTGTCATACTGAAAAAAAGGACAAAGACTTGTTCCCTGCTGCCACAGAGGACAGGCCTAGATCAACTTACTGGGAGGGCAGGTTCCAACTGAACATGAGGAGAAAGCTCTCGGCCGAGCGGTTTGCCAATGGAACCAATACCTGGGAGCGGATGGGCTCTGCCTTGCGGAGATATGCAACCAGCCACCTGCAGAGCTGTACCTAGAGGTTGGCAAGACTGCCCCCCCAAACACCCCAGAAACCTGTCTCCAGCTATCTGTGAAAGATTGTGAGTTTAGATAAGAGCTGGGAGCTGAGTGGTAAGAGCAGGCATAGGCAAACTCGGCCCTCCAGATGTTTTGGGACTACAACTCCCATCATCCCTAGCTAACAGGACCAGTGGTCAGGGATGATGGGAATTATAGTCTCAAAACATCTGGAGGGCCAAGTTTGCCTATGCCTGGGTAAGAGAAATGGCAAGACAGTATGATGGTAGACAGCTGGAGACTATGGGGTGTATGACGTATATGTGTGTGGCGACGCAATGCCGCCATCACAGCGAGATCAAACACAGGAGAAGCTTGCTTCAAGTACTTGGGTCGCATAAAATGTAGCAATTTCTAGTGCAGCTATTGCAGTAAGGTTATTTTTTTGTGGGGGGGGCGCCAATACAGCTCCTTGCCAAGGGCACAAGGGACCCTAGGTTTGCCTCTGGCCATCTGTAAAAGGCTGCTCTAGCTCTGGATCCCCTGCTTTGAGCAAAGGTTGGACCAAATGATTCACAAGGCCTTCTCCTTCCCGTGCTCTGAAAGTGGACACCCCTCCTACAGTGCTGGTTGGTGCCCATTGTGATTGCCGGGGCTGAATATGGGGAGCCCAAACAGTAGATGGCACCAGAGCCAATAAGAGGCAGAGCCACCTAATTCTGGTTTTGTCCCCATCCTCCCAGCTGAGTTCTGCTAGAGCAAAATGAGGCTGGGGAGGAGGACACCCCCTAGGCTTGCACAAAGTCAGGCACGTGGGCTGGCTGAGACTAGAATGGAAGTTGGTGGGGCTAATGGACCCGATTCCACTATCCTGCTACAAGGCCCTTGAAGCTGTCTGGGTGTGTTCCGGGGCTCCTGACCCATTTTCCTCCCTCACCTTAGGAATCTCGCTGCACCACCCAGTCGCTCGAGTTGAAAAGAAAAGTGCGGTCTGTGTCACCATGCTAAGATGCTACGAGGGAGTTTTGCTCAGACCACATAACGTAGATCAGCAATGAGTCACCCCTGGTGGAACAATTCACCTTCTCAAGCTGGAGCAACTGAGCTATCAGCCACACCCATCCTCTCCTCATGCTAGCCTGGGATGTATCACCCTAGGCTCAAAAAACACTCAGCAGTGCAAGGAATTTGTCATGCAGTTGGGCTTTCTCCCGTCTGTCTTTTTGGCAGTGTCAGAAGAAAGGAGAAGTCTTTCGGCAAGTGGCAACAGGTTTAGTTCTGAGAGTAAAACTTTTTCTGTACTTTCATGGAGACAAAGGCGGAGCACGGT